AGGCTCCCGGTGCCGCGCCCGGAGCACCCGGCCCCGGCCAGCCCCCCCGGGGAAGGAACCACGCAGCCGTTCGCAGCGTGGGAAATTCTCCCAGGGGCGCTCACGCCGTGTGGGACATCAGAGACTCCTCCCACGGCAGAGAAATTCTCGCGGGGCCCCGACGAGGGCCGGCCAGGTAGACAGACCCCCCCTTGTCCCCGTGCCCAGCAGGGGCATTTGGCTCCCAGCTGCCCCTGGCTGGGGTGAGGCTCCAGCAGCAGCCGGGCAGGGACCCTCTGGCTCTTCCTGACCTCAGCAAACCTCTGGCAGATGCTGGAGATGGAAGGGTGGGGGCTGGAGCTATCGAATGTTCGGAGCACGGGGGTAGAGAGGGGGCTGCCTCCCCTCAGTGCCCCACCTCTGCCCCGTCTCCCTCGGCTTTCCCACAGCCCCCCCAGGCCTTGAGATGTCCTCCCTGCTCTGCTTTAGCAGCGTTGCCTAGTGGCTTTAGCATTGGGTCTCAGGGTGTGTCTAAATGACACCCCTCTGTCGGCAGAGGGATGTAGATTAGCCCCGTCGAAAGTGCAAAGGAAGCCGGGATCGAACATGCAAATATCCCGCACTTCATTTGCATAATGGCGGCTGCCGCTTTTTGTTCGAAACGGGGCTTTTTTTTTTTCTTTAAACCCGGCAGTTTAGATCCTGTAAACTTCATTTTTTGAGGAGCACGAGATCTTTTGAGAAAGGGTTTTATTTTCGACAGATCCCCGTCTAAACTGCTGGGGCGGGGGGTTTTCAAAAAAGCCCTGTTTTGGGAAAAAGCCGCCATTATGCAAATGAAGGGTGGGACATTTGCATGTTCGATGTGCCTAATCGACATCTCTCTGCTGACAGAGGGGTGTTGTTTAGACACCCCCTCGGGGCCTCCGCCCAGCTCCCGACTCTGCCGGCAGCGTATTCGATGCTGTCAGACCCATCGGTGCCTTCCAGGGAGGGAATCCATGGGGCAGTCGCCTAGCAGCCCCCCCGAGCGTCTGTCTCTCTCATTCCTGGGCGATTCCCTCCTGCCCCCGAAACTTCCCCGGCCCTCTCCTGACAGCGCGGCCCCTGCCCACGGCCCGAAGCGTTTCTCCATTTCTCCTCCCCCTTTACGGGCGTCGCTTCCCGCCGCCTCCTCGGCCCACCGGTGTGGGAAGCCGGCTCGGCTCCTCCGTCCCTGGAGGGGGAACTGACACGAGCCACCAAGCGGAGTCTCAAATCCCCCCCCCCAGCCTCCTTCCCTGGCAGCTGGATTCTTCCAGCCGGTCTGGAGATGGGACGTTTGGGGCTTCATGTGGGGGGGGCTGGGGGGTTCCCTCTTTCTTTTGTGCCGCGGCTGCTGCTTGCCCTGTAGGGATGGGCCCGGCCGGAGAACGGGGCCGGGCTGACGAGAGCACAGGCTGAAGGAGGCGCGTAACGGTCCTCTCCGGGTGTGGGTTCGACGGGAGGAACGGGAAAAGGGGTTTTCCGCCCCGGAGACGGGGGCGGGTGGAAATATTAGCCGCATGGCCGGAGAGGCCTGGCTGGGCAGACGGAGAAGGACTCGGTCGCATGAGAGTCAAATTCGAAACGTGTTGGAGCAGCGCTGGGGGAGATGTTTTTTCGTGCCTTGCGCTCAGGGATGCGACGGGTTCACTGGTCAGCCTCACCCGCCAGGCGTAGGGCTTACTGGTTCCGGTTAACCACTGGGAGTCGGAGCAGCGCCCTGCCTGACGTGGGTCGGGGGCTGCTGCAGCCCCACGGCGCCCACAGCAGGCGGGGGCTCTTCCAGTCGCCCAGAGCAGCCCCTGTCCGCAGCGGGTCCGGGTGCACGCCTGCCAGCCCTCAGGAACGAGAGCCCAGGAGATCCGGGTATCCTCCAGTCGGCATCGACTTTGGGTCTGGGATCCGGAGGGCCCCGCAAAGCCGCACGCATCCCCTCTCTAGCCGTGGGTGCCCCGGTTCCCCGGCAAACGCCCCGGTAAGCCTGACGGTTCCCCGGCAAACGCCCCGGTAAGCCTGACGGTCCCCCGGCAAACGCCCCGGTAAGCCTGATGCTTTAGCAAGGAACCGGTTCACCATGGGCCTCCCCCTCTAGCGCCCTGCAGAGTGGCCGACACCCCCGGGGCATTTTCACCGATGCCGGTTTTAGGTCCGTGCAGGGCCCTTTCGCACCGGGGAGACCCAACCCCCCAGCACCACAGTCCCAGTCGCTGCCTGGACCCCCCGGCTGTGGATTCGGGACTGTCCCCCTGGACTAAATTCTCCAAGGACGTTTTGCAACCCCAAGATCCCCAGCTCCGTGGTGGAGCAGCCTCGGGTTTTTGCACTCGGGTCTGGCGGCGGGTGGGGCTTTTCACCAAGTCTTTCTCTCCTCTGCGGGGACGTTTTAGGGTAGTGGAGACGAACAGGCTCGCGGGGTGTGTTTGGGAGAGGTGTGAAACGCCAGGTGGCCGGCAGGTGCTGCGTCCGACCCTTCGGGACGGGTAGAACTGTTGGTGTCCGGGCAGATGCTGGCGACGTTGTCTGCGAACGCTGAAAGGCTGCTGGTGTCTCGCCATCGCTGGGAAGAGGCAACCGGGCAAATGCGTCTCTCCTGGACCGTGGGCAACTTCTGCCCCCAACCTTTAACGCCTTCCCCTTTGCTGGGCCCATGTGTGGGGCTGGAGCAGCCACATGTAGGGCTGAGATGCACAGGGCCGGCCATCGGAAGGGGAGTGGGGGGGGGGACGCTGGTTTTACTTCTTGCCTTGAAAAGAATAAACTTGAATTTAGTTTCTCAAACTCCCTGTGTCCCTAGCCTTGAAGGAAGGGGACGGAGGGAGGGAGGGGAGAGGTCTTCCGTGTTCTCTGAGGCTGTCTCCATCTACGCAGTGGGGGAAAGTCTGGTATCATTTTGGGGGGGGTATTTTTTTGTATTTGTTTTCCTTCTCTTTCCCGTCCCACCCCCTCTCTTCCTGCAGTTTATGGGCCTATCGGCACAGCAAAGATAAAGCCGAAATAAGCCGTGCCACTCGAGCAACATCAATTGCGTCGCTTCCGTCAAAATACAGTAATTCCTCATTTAACACATGCCGGCTTAACGCGTTTCCGCACTAGCACGATTTTTTTTTAGGGAACGTTTTTCGAATAACACAACCGTTTTTCGAAATAACAGGAAAATCATCAAGTGGCGGACTACTTTGTGCGGCTCTGTAAGTTGGCGAAAACAGTGGTAATACGCACGAGTGGATGAATACACGTGGTCACAGCGCTCCTCTGCTCACTCACATGTGTATCTTTGTGCGGTGACTTGTGTTGCTAGATAGCGAATGCTGACTTTGACGACCCAGCACCAAATAAAATTGACTTTGCCACCACCACCTGAAATGCAACCCCCATCAGAGGTGTAGGTTGAGGTTGGACATTAGGAAAAAGTTCCAGGGTAGTTAAACACTGGACTAAATTGCCCAGGGAGGTTGTGGAATCTCCATCTGTGAAGATATTGAAGAGTAGGTTAGATAAATGTCTATCAGGGATGGTCTAGACAGTATTTGGTCCTGCCATGAGGGCAGGGGACTGGACTCGATGACCTGTCGAGGTCCCTTCCAGTCCTATGATTCTATGATCTTTTCCATTATTTTGAATGGGAAATTTGACCCCACAAAGCACGTTTTCGCTTAGCACGAACATTTTCAGAAACGCATGAAGTGTTAAATGAGGAATTACTGAATTTGTTCCTATTTGTTTTCGTTTATGGGCCCGCTGGCACAGCAAACTGAAGCCGAAAGAAGCAGCACCACTTGAGCGACGTCAATTGCGTAGCTGCCGACAAAACAGCTTGCTTTGGCTGTTGGCGCTGTCGACACAGCAGGAAGTCGGAGAGAAAGTGCCCTCTTCCTCCGACTCCCCTGACTCCTCGTACGATGACAGTTAAGGCGGCGGAGTAAGAATTCCTCCCGCTTGCCATACAGCAAACTGAAGCCGAAAGAAGCAGCACCACTTGAGCGACGTCAATTGCGTAGCTGCCGACAAAACAGCTTGCTTTGGCTGTTGGCGCTGTCGACACAGCAGGAAGTCGGAGAGAAAGTGCCCTCTTCCTCCGACTCCCCTGACTCCTCGTACGATGACAGTTAAGGCGGCGGAGTAAGAATTCCTCCCGCTTGCCATTATTTCGACACGATGTTGAAATAACGGCTTGCTGTGTCGACGCGGACTGTGTTATGTCAGAAAAAACGTCAACGTTATTCCAAACCGACGCTGCTGCAGTTTTTCCCGTTACAGGCTACCACCCCTCTGAGACGTTAAGACCACACTGGGCACCTATTTGAGAGCTGATTTTTGTGCATCTCTTTGCAACAATTTTATATTTCCAAGCCACCTCCGCCTCTTAGAGCAGTGTTGCTTAAACTTTTTAAGACTGAGGAACGCCAAACAATACATTTTTTTTTTTGGGTGAGGAACGCAATGTTGAGGGGGGAAAAAAAGGTCGCCTGCCCCTTTAAGGGCGCCATTTTGAACTCTGCTGTTCTCTGGGGCACACCTCTGACTGCCTTGGGGCACGCTGGTGTGCCTCCGAACCCAGTTTAAGAAACACTGCCTTACAGCGATCACAAGTCTTGCTGATTCTTCTGCCTGACTCCGTGTTCCTTAATTTGTCTGCATCTCCACATCCCAGCCAGGCTGTTTAGCTCTGT